CACACACACACACACACACACACACACACACACACACACACACACACCCTTCTTTTGACATGTGCCAGGGTGCCATCCATTTCCTCATGCTGAGGTGCAGCATTTCCTGTGAGATGGTGGGGGGTCAGTGGGCCTTTATGTGTGTGTGTGTCTGTGTGTGTGTGCCTGAACATTTCAGTAATGTGGTATGTGGATGTCTGTGTGTGTGTGTGTGTGTGTGTGTGTGTGTGTGCACATGCATGTGAGTGGAAAATGCACTTTTTCCAGGCTGAGCAATGGGGATCACTCCCACTTAATGATCTCTTTAACAGTGCCAACCCCTGCGTTTTGACTCACATGCGTACGCACGCACGCACGCACGCACACACGCACACACACACACACACACACACCACTGCTGTTTTGTCTGAACAGTGCTTCCAGTGGCATGTGGGCTGCTAATGCATTACAAAAGCAGCAGAATATAGAGAGGCGTATTAATAAAAATTCACAAATCATTCCTGTATGCTAAATTCCCAAGGCATGATGTATTTCAAGGGCATAACCCCATCATGATCGATTCCATCTGGGATGACTAGCTTTTTTTTTTTCTTCTCTCGCTCTGCGTGTCTGCATCGTGCCTCCAGGCAGCGAGTATGATGAGGAGGAGGTAGACTACGAGGAGTCGGACAGCGACGAGTCGTGGACCACAGAAAGCGCCATCAGCTCTGAGTCCATCCTCAGCTCCATGTGCATGAATGGGGGAGAGGAGAAGCCGTTCGCCTGCCCCGTCCCCGGCTGCAAGAAGAGATACAAGGTAAGGCCTCACACTGCCATGGGACACGAGGCTCAGTTGTGTCCACACTGGAGCTTTTGTCTTGAGTATCACATGTCTGGATATAATATTCGAAAAAGCACATTATAAATCAAGAAGCAGTGATAAATATATCATGGCATATTTGCTTTGGTTTTTTTTTAAATTTGCAGCTGGTAACAAAAACCTCATTCAGCTTGTACCTTTTCAGACCAAAACAGTGACATGGGACAAAGTCACATGGTGTTATCCGACCTGTAATAACGTCACTTAAGTTATCAGTAATGAGTATAAATGTAGAAGATTAGCAAGTTTAAGGGCATTCAATAAAATACCAAAACATTGCACTGTCCCACTGTTGTGTTTTCTAGTGTAAACATTTCGGTGACCACTTTGAATTAATTTAGTAAGTGTTAAGGCTACTGCCAGGAGCCGGTTAGCTCAATAAGCAATCAATCTGTGACCGCAGTCTGGTAGGAAATCCCCCCCAGCGTGAGCAGCGGGCTTTGAGGCCAGTGTGACATAGAGGCAAAAGCGTGGAATTACAACTTCTGACTCTATCTCGTGATGCCACTGGGCCCAAACATACTTTTCCCCAGAGACTTTCCCAATATTAGGCTGTGGGAAAAAGTCTTTTTTTCCACAGACTTGCATCGGGAAAGAGCCGTCTGTGACTCAGCGGATCATTTTTTTGAGGAAAATCAACTTCCCAGTATGACCACTTAAATAGCCCTTATTTAAATGATGTAAAAAACAAGGGTGCTTGTTACACTCCACTTTTATAATGTATCTCCTCCTCCCTGTCTTTTCAGAATGTGAACGGTATCAAGTACCACGCCAAGAATGGTCACCGCACGCAGATCCGTGTGAGGAAACCCTTTAAGTGTCGCTGCGGCAAGAGCTACAAGACCTCGCAGGGCCTGAGACACCACACCATCAACTTCCACCCGCCCGTCTCCACCGAGATCCTGCGCAAAATTCAAGGCTAGAGGCCGCGCTCACACCGATCTCTGCCCCAAACATAGCCCTGTCCTGACTTTCCTCACACGACCCTTTTTATTCCAATCCCACACACTAAAGGATCAAGTGCGTGCTTTAATTATCTTTTTTTCATCCTTTTCTTCGTATGCGTTACATTATTCTTTTCTATCCATGTTATATCAATTATAGTTTAAAAAAAAACAAAACAGTATCTTAGTAGTATTTTTTATTGTTGTACATTTGCACATTCGTATATGCTATCACGTTATTTTTTTTCCTCTATTGTTTGACTCGCATAAGGTGCTAAACGTAAAAAACAGAAAGAAAAGACACAAAAACAAATGACATGAAAGAAGACGGGAAACGTAAAAGATGTGAAAGAGGAAGTGCAACCAAGCCCCGCCCCTTTCCCTACTCGTCTCTGAGTGGGATGAAGTTGACATTAGTGCCGATCTGAGTTCAGTGGTTGTGTCGCTTCTTCGTTCGATTCAGACGGTTCACTGAGCTTAGATCTGTGCCTTCAAAGTAACTTCTGAGGGTTCCAGTGCAAGAGTTAAGTTATACTTTAAATAGATATATTGATATATAAACAATAGACAGATATGTATGTGTACATAAAAATATATAAAAGTATTCATGAGCATATACATAAATAGTTACACTTCAAGCTTTATTTTATATATTTTATATATTTTTGTCGGTGTATTTTTCTGTGTATCAGTAAGTGTTCCTTTCATTCCTTATTTGCTGAGACGGCCAGGCCGAGGTCAAACCGCTGCCTTTAGGTTTGGAGAGTTTTCTCTCGCCACACCCTAGAGATGAAGAGCCAGAACGCCTTTCGGTTTGACACTCTGAATTGTGTGCGATGTTTCACTGTTGATCAGGAAGGAGCGCTCAGCGCCGAACCTGTTCGAACACAGCCCAAGGCCAACGATCCATATCGTGAACATTTCATCCCCACGGAAAGCCATCCATGTATTCCACATCTCCAGTGTTTCCTCATTCAGAGTGCCAGAGCTGTGTTCAAGAGACTTAGCCGCGAACGCCGGCTAAGCATCATATTCCAGTTGCCAAGATCTTTGTTGTTGTTTCGTTTTTTTCCATGATGTTGCCAACAGCTCTCCACTGCCAAACACTGACCATACCATGTGCCTGATGAGGGGGGGGGAGGGAGGGAAGGGGAGGGAGGTTTCGGTGGGTGGGTAGAGGGTGGGAGTTAAAATGTTTTCACCCTGGAGGTCGCCAAACGCGTGGCAATGATTTACTTCTTCATTGCGCCTCCAAAATGTGCGCATGAGTGGATGTACATCGACAGAATGTTCTCATGCATGCTTTCTGTGTCGTAAAGAGAGAAATAAAGTGTGAAAGATTTGTGTTTGAAAGAGATTATCACCTACAGCCCGTCATTCTGTGCGTGTGTGTTGTAGATGAGAGCATTCTAGTTCATTGTGTGTGTGTGTGTGTGTTTCAGCAGTATCCAAGTCATCAGCCTGTAGAGTGTTCCTGTATTCTGTGTTTCAGTGCTCTGGTCTGTCGTGGTGTGTGTGTGTGTGTGTGTGTGTGTGTGTGTGTGTGTGTGTGCGTGCCATGCCGCTGGTTGGACTCCTGTGGAGCAGGATGGCTAGCTAGCAGTGTCGCGTTATGTTGTGTAGCGGTTAGCCAACTTGTTGCCCTTTGACTGGGAATTCATCGTTCATTGCCTCTTAAGAAACAAAACAAGAGCGTTGCAGTGCAGCCGCCGCGTGCCAACACACATTGTTTCATAACATCGTTTCCCACATCGTGCACAAAGTTTTAAAATCTGCAGAATGCTCAAAGAACGAGCTTTTGTTCTTTTGAAGTGACCTCTGACATGCACACACCCTCCCGTCCTCCAGACTTATTTTCATACACCTTTTGATACTTCATTTTCCACTCTTATTTATTTAGGGGGTTGAATAAGCTAATTATTTAACTCTAATTTCTTTTTAACATTCTGTACTGTACTTAACAATGCCTTTAACTAGTGTGCTACCTAACAATAAGCACAAGTGTGTGCGTGTGTGTGTGTGCGTGCTTGAAAGACATCCATGTCTATTCTGAAGCACCAATAAGTGAACCAAGATCTCCCAAAATCTTGGTATCAGTTTCAAAGTGTGTCCGTGGACTTACTACCCTGACAGTAATGGTTCGCGTGCGATTAGAAAAGCTTCATTCCTGCCTCTCAGCGTAGGGGAAGAGTTTCAGAGACGGAGACTGTGAGTCTCTGTCAAACACTCGTAAAAACCATCCCTGCTTCACGGACACCACAGTCACCATGGCAATAGTTTCAGCTTCACACAGGGTCCAATTGCAGTATTACACATATGGGAGAGGAGGAGGAGGAGGAGCGGAGGCTGTGTGCAGAAGGAGGCGAGGGCGGGGGGTTTCAATATACTGTGTACAGTGAATGTATTGTAACGTGTCTGTTGTCAAGTGGTTTTAAATTATATTTTCGTATGTAACGTGGAGACCGAGGTTTCCTTTTTGTATGGGGGGACAACAGGTTCTGAGCAGAGTGACTTGTAAATGATGTCAAAATGTCTTTCTATATAAAAGAGAAGTTGCATAAATGTAAACAGGAAATGACTGAAAAAAAAAAAAACAACATAAAAATAAAAGTGTAAAACTCTGTAGCTCGGACTGATGGTCATTTCTTCCCCCTTTCAACCCAAATAGAAGAAGACGTTTCTGTTAAATGCATTAAGACAAGCTTACTTTATTCATAAAGATCTTTGCAGTACACACTTAAACCACCGTCCTGACATTCTCACGTGAAAAAGGGACTGGACACATGGCATACACACACATTTGCCTCATGGTTACTGGGCATGTGCAATTTTTAAAGCCTGAATACAACACTGTCAGGGGGTCACTTTGTAAATAGACAAGCGGTGATGTGGAGACACATATAAATGACACTCACTCATGATTTGGACCTGCACACAAAGCAACGGATGTTTTTCTTCACAGTTGTAATGTTAAAAGGTGGAATTACACAACAACAGAAGTGTCTGTAACTTGGTGTCCTGGGGTCCGTTTGCCTAAAAACGCGACAGAATCTCCGCTGAAGTAAAGAGACCAGCCTAGTTTTTCTTTACCAACTGACTAAAGTAAAACATCATTGGTCCGTCATTCTTTCATAACTAAAAAAAAAAAAAGAACAATGAGGGGAGGCAGAGTCACGACAGTAATTCACAGGTCTCTCCACAACTTATACTTATTTTCATATGTACAGTACATTCAGAATAAAGCCTTATTTAGTGCAGATACATTAAAACGTAGTGCTGTTCCTGTTTAAACCATCTGACGTCTTACACGTACAGTAGTACTGTAGTTTTGGGAGAAATCAAAGATCACTTCCCATTCAAGTCAAAAACAAAAAAAAAAAGTTTTCCCACCACACACACTCAGATGACATCACATATTCAGATCTCACTCTGCATTTGCACTTAAAAAAAAAAAAATACATTTTCTTATCTCTTCTGCCTTTCCCAGCTTTGAAACATGTGGACAATTAAAAGATGAAGACGTCTCGGCCGCTTTATCACACGAGAAGCTTACTCATTGTAGATAATATCCAGGATAGACAAAGAACCATCGACATACGAAAATGCTTTCTGCTTCAAGCTCCAGCTACAATTCACTCTCTCAGCCTGAACAGCTGTAACTTTTGTACTTTTGAACACATAATGAATGCATGCACTACCAATGGTGCTTTAGTCCCCTTTGAAGCAGAAAGATGAGCATAGAAATGAGACAAAAGTAAAAGTAGTACTTTTCGCGAGTGTTAATGATCCCTTTACCCATGGTGTATTAAGGTGAAAGCTACCCTACTTAATACCTTAAACCTTGGTGGAGCTTCCTGGACTACATTCTTTCTAACCTTTGTTAAAGATTGCAAAAAAGTGCTAATGATTGTATATTAACAAGACACCTTGACCCAATCAAAATTAACTAATAGCTGACGACACACATTTACCCATACGATGAGTCAGAATTCGGGGTTTCGGCCCTTTGCGCAACTTCATTCAATCTGCTCGAAGTTGAGCACGTGGCCGTCAAAGTGCGTGAGGACGTGCCTCTCGAAGAGCTGCTGCTGACAGTTGAGGGGGAACTGCTCGGAGCAGACGGGGCAGACCTTCCAGTGGCTTTCCACGTGCTGCTCGAAGCTGCGCTGCTCAAAGTGTGGGGGGAAGATCACCTCGCAGAGCGGGCAGCGCTTGTGAACACTACTGGAGAGAGAAAAGGAGAGGGCGGGGGAGAGTTGGTGAGATGTGTCGGTTTGGTTCGGATCCTATAAGTGTACACTGACTTTCTCTGTATGTTATTCCGTTCAGTTCAAATGTAACTACGACTTCTTAAAACATCCTTAAATAAGAAATTCTACAATGATAGTTTCAGCTCTCACTCTGAAAGTTCACTTTTGAAACAGCGAGCTAGATTACATGTTGTATATGTATATGTACTGCATATTATACATATTGTGCATGCAGATATATATGTGCATACTTATGTATAAATAGGTTTTGTGTTTAGGTCCCCTTCCTCTGTTGCACCGTTTGTGTGTTTTGTTTGTTACATTTCTTTGACTGTTAATGCAGAATGTCTTTGCTGTTTCATAATATATTGTATGTTTATTCCCTACATACACACACAGAGATGTAAAGACGACCAGTTGTGGATTTTAGTTCATACTTAACGGACGAATACGACAATAACGTTTGAAAAGAAAATGAACAAATTAATGTATTTTGATAGGATCCACCCTCAGGGTACACATTGTGGTGTTTCTGCAGGATCAGTTGGACCGACATCGCGTGCTTCATGTTTACACGATTAGGCATCTGAGATGCATTCGGGCTGGCTACATGGTGACTCGAGAGACAATCGGGCAAATGCGCCTCAGTCGCACTCAAAGCCACTCAGAGGTTTCTCAGAGCTGTATTAAACTAAACAGGCGGAACATGTTCGCTTCCATGAAAACAAGCTCTTACGGGGAATTATTGAGAAAATAATGTTGTTGTTAAAACAGGGCAATTCTTTTTTTTTTTCTCAAGTGAATGCATACATGACTCTTTACTCCATGAAGTCAGCCACTCTGTGGGTCTGGACAAACAGCGAGGGATTTAAATTCCTTTTTATTTATTTTTTAAACATTAGCTTGGCTCAACACTGGCACAGAGGTGGACTGTCCCTCTGGAAAAAGAAATCCTTCCCTGAACGTCTCTTTGCCATCTGTGTTAATCACATCTGTGTTTATTTATTCTAAAGTATTTTTATGTGTGTGGGTAGGCACACTACCTGGAGTCAAAGCAGAAGCTGCCCCTGGCTTCTCTACGTCTACTGGACTGATGATCACAGGACGGCTGAGCCCCATCAGCAGCCTATGAAACACAAACGCACACAAAAGGATGGAAAGTAATGGCCCTCTATTCGCTCCTCGAGCTGTATGCATATATATGTCTGCTGTAATGTTTCTATTGTAACGGCAACCCACAGTAAACCTTCCTCGCTTGCCTCGAGTCAGTTTGCTCCCAAAACAACAAGACGACATAATCTGACGGACACAAAGTGATCTTCGGTCTGTCCCTTTGCAAGATCTCCCCTAATTACTCTCCGAGCCCTTGTTATCTTCGTCACTCTTGAGCTCTGAGGGAGTGACGTTAATTAGAGCTCTATGCAAATTAGTTCATGGCTTCATCTTTTAAGGGCAAGCTCCTATTCCCTTCATTCACTGAGTAGGAGGACTCCAGAGACGGAGAGAGAGGAGTTACCCTGACAGCAGTTCTGTGGATGCTAAAACACGACGGGAGGGTAAGAAGCCGAAGCCTGGGGCTTAGTTTGTCATGCATTTAAGTTGCTTTAACAGTTGGAGGAGGTACTATAAAAGAATATCGAACATACAGGTGTATTGAGATCAAACTGATGCTGTGATCAATTGTGGTACTATAACTTACAAACTAAATATATAATATATAATATCCGTGAGGAGAGCAGGCAGAAAACAATCATGTTTGCATAATCTGATGCATGTAAAACCTCAACTGATAAAAGATGAATTCAAAATGAATTGGCTTGTTAATAGGCGCCTGGGTTTTTTGTGAGCGAGTTTCCATCCTGTATTTGTGTTTGTGTGCACTTACGTTGCGTGGCTCCTCCGGCGGATGCTCCAGACTCTCGGGGGGGCTCGTGCTGCGGCAGGGCTGGCTGCAGACCACCTCCCGGTCCCAGCCCGGTGCCCCGGGGCCCGGACTCGGGGGTGTGATTGGGGGTGCACAGGGAGGGGCGCAGGGTGGGGCCTCAGGGGGAGGACGGGGCATGTCCTCCGGAGAAAGCGCGACATCCACCCGGTCTAGAAAAACAGTGACACATGGAGGTGTTGTCAAATAGCAGCAAAATAAAAGTGAAGGGATGGAGAGTCGGCGTGAAAGGTCTGTCAAAGTCTGACTTCCTCCCACCTCGTGTGCTGTCAGTGGAGTAGGGGTTGCCGTACTGCAACTCAGCAGGCCTGTGTGGGACCAGTGGTGGAGGAGAGGGGTCCTGAGGGTATGGCAGCGGGTAGCGCAGCACCATCGGCTGCCTGATCTCAGCACCCTGAGCACCGGCTTCCTGCTGCCTGGACACGAAGCGCTGCAGCTCCTGAGCGGGAGACGGAGACAAAATCCAGCGTCACAGCATCTCTCGGGTATAAACTACATATTGTCAGCATGCCTTTTACAGAACATCTTGCTCACAAGCTTTCCTTTAAGTTTGTACAATTATATATTTCGCCTTTACATTTTCATACTGTAGATATGTTTTTTATTACTTGATCTACACCTGTATGATGTCTATCTACATTTTTTATGTTTTCCTTTCACATTAAATCCTCTTTCAGATCATTGATGTTGCTGAATGTGTAAAACTATCTGTTTCGAAGAGAGAGGGACTGCTGAGAATAGCTGCAGAGAAAGAAATACAGCGAGAGCACATTTTCACTGTTGGAACCACACGAGGATTCAATATTTTCAGCTCAGAGTTAAGTTTCCCTCTACATTGTTTCTGCCCTTTGTGATTATATATGAAGCAAGAGCATTAGTACCTTACTCATTACTGTAATGGGTGTCAGACTCTGGCTCCCTCTGCTCTGGCTCTGCTGATGGAGGCTCTCGCCCTCTCCCGCTTTTACTTCCCTCCTTCCTCTCGCTAGTCCCCCCCCTTGACCTCCTCTCTTGATGACTTCATTAGTGCGCAGCTATCAGGTTTAACATTTAAACCAGGGTTGGGAAAGGTGAAACAGACACGTCGCGTGGCATTTGCACTGTCTAATGGCACTGTACCAACGGGCGAGGAAGCAAGTATAGATGTATTAATTAGTGGGGAGAATGGAGAAGGAAAAGAAAAGCTACAGGAATGAGTTCAGACACTGCAAGCCAGTTAATACGGCTATAATCTCTATAAACAGATATGTGCATATAAACGCAGAATCTGTATTTGTATTACCTGCATTCATGAGCTTATATCTATTCGTAGAGATGAACATAGACAGGGATGACAGCGTGAAGCAACTGAGCCTGCCACATCCTGTCTGCAGACCGTGTCCGAGACTCCCTGATCTCATCAAAGTAGCGCTGCACACCGTGTCCATGTTTGAATCGACTTACAGCTGCGATTCAGCTCTCTCTGCACATTAACACCATTAAAACCAAGTGCGGTGAGCACCCACACATTTGGATGAGAGTGGCACTGACTCCTTTAAAAGCTCGTACCTCTTGTAGTTGCTCCTTGTCTCTGAGGGCCTGGGCGAGGTTTCGCTTCAGTTCTGTCACCTCGCTGGCACGCTCTGCCATGTGCACCTACAGACGGGACACACACACACACACACACACACACACACACACACGGACACACACACGGACACAAAGCGTGTTACGACAATGGTTCATTCAAATGTTTCATTTCACTGTGTCTTCAAGGCGCCAACCATTTGCCTGTGACCTTTGTTGCGTCATTCCCCGTCTTTCTCCCCTGTCAACTATAATGAAAGCATGAAATGCCCCCAAAACATAATCATAAAAACCGTCTGATTAGTGAAAATAAAAATAAAACGAGAGGACATAAGCTCAATTATTGTATCTCCGTACTGCTTCAACTAGTAGACGGGTAAGGAATAGTTTGAATAATAACATAACTAACAATTAAATTCATAATTTATTAATCTCATGATTCTTTTATAGAATAGTTAATTAATGGCGCCTCAGGCAGAACCTTCAAATGTCTTTCTGTCCAATAGTTCAAAACCCAAAGATATTAAATTTAATATCACACAAAGGCACCGACGTGCCGCATATGTTTACAACTGAAAAGCTGGACCTAGAGAACGTTTTGGCATTTAGGCTGACAGAATACTTAAACATGATTAATCGAATATCCGAATGGTTGTTAATTAATCACCTTCACATTGACTGATTGATACAGCTCCAAAAACAACAATCCAGCAGCAACGGTGACAGTTGATGGAAAAGGAAACATGTCGACTTTAACGGACCTGATACGATCCCTTTTATTTCCACTCCATTTGTGTTAACTGACGGAGAGGAATATCAGTAGGCATACACACAGGCAAGCGAGTGAACAAAAATATTTGGTCGGTTGACTTTTATTTAACCTGGAGCGGCGTCAAATGTGCGGCGCTTACTGTAAAACACACAGTAAAAGCCACAGAAACACGGCCTGTGTCCAGGGCAGTCTGCAGCAGACCAGAGGATCGCAGTAAATCTCAAACTTTCTGACAGGACTGAACCTGTGGGATAGTTTACATGGCTAGATGCCTGCTCTTCTCTCATCTCATCACAAATTTTCCAAATCCCCTCCTCTCCCGCGGTTTCTCTTTCTGCTCCGTGTCCGTCTGTCCTACTATTTTCACTCCTAAATTCCGCTTGCTTCTTCCCCCCCGTCATTCTCTTTCATCTCCTTTTGTCCTCTCTCGCTCTCTCCCCCTCTTTCATGAATTTACTGCGCAGCATTAGAGGGTTAAGTTAAGGTGAAGGGATTCTGCAGCCGTGTGTTCCTGCGCCCTCCCTCCCTCCCCTCCCCGTCTATTCCTCCCCCACGGTCCATCCACTGGGTGGCTGATGTAAACAGCCGTAAAGCATGGCGCTCTGCGGCTGCCTCTCTTGTCAGTCTCCGGGGCCATTAAGAGCGGCTCGAGGCCCGGGGCACTCACCTCAGACAGGAGACTCTATCAAAGACAGGGGAGAGCCTTATTTACAGCGCCGATAAACACACACTCACTCAAGGAGATTAAATGCCAGTAGGTACTTTGGCAGACATTCGCATGCAAAATGCAACAGGCCCCACATCGACGCAATGAGCTCAAGTAGTCGTATTGAATCACACACGCGCACACGCACACATAGGCTCTGGTGTGGCATGGAATAACCCGGTTGCTCTGGTTAATGCCTGCTCATGTAAACTGTTATGAACATTTGCTACTCTGTGACCAAGTGTAATTGTTGCTACTTACAAGCTCTCACTGGTAACACACCAGTCCAGCAATTAGTTCATCTATTCCAGGGCAACTAGCTATCAAGCAACTATTAGCACTATCCTTGAGTCAGCAATGGTAAGACACTTTAAAAAGATTTGTCTCGTAGTTGTTCTGCTTTATTGGAATATGTAGACAGTGATGTAACAATTACATTGTTAATTAAACAGAAAATAATTGTTGCAGTAATTTCACAAGCAAAATGAAGCAAAAACATTTCAACATTTTCTCGCTCCAACCTCTCAGATGTGAGAATTGCTGCATTCTGGTTATTTTAAATGTAATATCTTTGTTTTTTGCAGTTGCATGGACATAATAACCTACTTGACGATGTGCCCTTGGGCTCTGGCATTTTATGACTAGCATTTATTACTAGTTTGGGAGATTTTATGGACTATGTTAATCAGTAATGAAAATAATCATAAGTCAAAGCATACATTTTGCAGAAAAGGAATTCACTCTCAGAACACCGTATTCATAATATATTGTGTTGTTTTTGTTAGAAATATGTTTAAAGACAGGTAATAATAAATTATGAAAGAGTAAACTTTATAATGATGGTCCATTATTACTGGATCACAACCTCACAAGTTAATTTTCTTTGTGTGTGTAACTATATCTAGTGATAAAAAAACATATCAAAACTAAATGGACTGGCAAATAGAATTTTGAAAGGGGAGGATAAGGTTTACAAAACACTCTGGTGTAATAAAAATGGAGTTACTGTGTGTGCGATGAGGATATGATGAATAGAATATGTTTGTGTGCCCATCTACACTGGAGCATGCTTGTTGTTTTAACATATATTCACCAATGGAATGTTTTGTTGAGTGCACTTTGGTGGTACTTAAGGGCTTGTACATAACCTCTGAGCATTGGGAGAGTGTGAGAGTGTGTGTGTCTCACTCTGAATCGTTCCTCCTCGTTGGCCAGCCGTTGTTTGAGCGTCTCGTTGATCGCACACTGCTGCCTCCACTTCTCCTCCATCATCGCCAGCTCCTCCTCCACCGAGCGCGTCTGCGCCTTCTCTGCCTCCCCCATGCGCCTCCCCTCCACCTCCGGCAGCACCTGGTGCTCCGCAGCACCCCTCACGTCCTCGGCCTTCCCTGCCAGTTCCGCCTCGCTGCTCTCGTCGGCACTCTGCCTCTCGTCCTCCACCTCCACCCAGCTCGTCATCCTCAGGCTCTCCTCTGGCAGACTCTCCTTCTTCTCCTCTTTTTCTTTCTCCCTTTCCTCCCCTTGGTTGGCTCCGACCTCGGCCTCCACCTCGGCCCTCTCCTTCGGCATTTTCTCTCTCTGCCTTCCTCCCCTCTCAATGCTGATGTATGCATCAGTGTGTGTGTATTCCCTGTTACTAAGTTCTGGTGTTATTGTCATCTCAGCGGCTTCTTGTAGGACTGCAGCGGCTATGTTTCCTGTGGCAACACACAAAGTTCAAGTAGAACAAAGATGACACATAGCCAGCAGGACAGTCTTTGATTCGGGTATTAACAGTTGAATAGAAGTGATAATTATGGATATTTCAATACAAAAAACACTGTAATTAACATATTTTGTGAAATCACTCTCCGCCACGTAGACTCGTCTACTTTTTAATTTACTTCCCAAATTTCCAAGAAAGATTTTTGAAAATTTCCCGAGAATCTGCCTCAACTTGTTGTTCTTAGATTGTAGTTTGTCTCAGCGAAGACAGCAACAGTAATAGCATAGTGAGAGAAAAGGGTTTTCTCCAGTCAAGCACAGTGAGTCACACCATGCACTTACTTTTCTTCATGTCACGTGATTACAAAGGATTACTGATGATTGATCATACTGTCGTGGAACATCTTGTATTTCTACCTTTTAATTACTTTTTCAAAGACAAAAAGCAGAAAAACAAAACAAACAAACAAATAAACCTCTATATTCTGTTGGCATGGTGTCAACCTGTGTATATTTGGACAGTTATACGTGGCAATAAGTGAAGTACAGAACATCGTCAAACAAGAAAATGGATATGCAAAGTGCATCTCTATGAGTTTTAAACAAGTTTAAGTGTTTCTGGATTTATTTGTTTTGCATGAATAGTTTTTGACAAAAATGTAATCATAGTATATTTTAAATATACCATCATGCATGTATATATACTTTTGCACTTGAAGGTGTGTGTACCTGCCGTCGGTGACTCTGGACTCGGGGTCAGTGGCTCCTGTGTTGTCTCAGTGGATGCATTTCTCTTTGGCTCCTGCAAAACACACACACACACACACACACACACACACACACACACACACACACACCAACAACAAGAACAATGTGTTAACAAAACATAATTGCTGCAGCTTTCGGCATAAACTGACCTGGGTGTAATACTTCTTGTCGTATGAGCTTTACTGTACAGTACTCACTCCCTGTGACTCAGTTGTATTCAGTTTGGCCACCTGCCTTCGGAGGCGCTGACACTCCCGGTACTTCTCCTTGTAGTGCTCAGCAGCCATGTGAAGACGCAGCTTCAGCTCCTCCACCTCTCTCTGCAGCTCCGCCTCTGCCTCTGACACCACCATCATGCTGGGTGTCATCTCCCCACTGGTCCCAACACCCTGAGAGAGAGAAGGAAATGTGGAGGACATTTTGAAAAAAACATTTTCCATGTCCTGCTTCAGAAGTCCCTCAGCTCTTGCCAAACATTGCACGGAAAGTGAAACACTGACCACTTCCTTCTGTGCAGTGCTCCTCATGCGGTCGAGCTGGCTCTCCATGCGTTGGCACTCGGCCTGAGCATCAGCTAGACTGGCACGGAGCTTGTCAGCTTCCATACGGGCGCGATACAGCTCGGTCATCGTGTGGTCACGGGCGCTGGCTGAGTCACGGAGCTCCGAGGCCAGCAGGGAGGCTTGCTGCCGGGACGCCTGAAGCTGCTCCTCTGCCTGACGCAGCTGCTCACGCACACGGGCCAGATCTGCCTATAAAGACATGTAGACGGACCATATATGTGTATAGATGAACTGATTTTACCATATAGACACACACACACACATACGGGTGTACAACCACTGCTACCTTGTCAGCCTTGTGTGCCAGCAGCTCTTTCTCCAGGCTGTCCCGCTGGGCAACGCAGAGCCGGAGCCTGTCCATCTCCTCCTGGAACTGAGCAATGGTCACCTCCCGGTTCAGCTCCACCGCCTTCAGCATCTGCAGCTCCGCGCTCAGCTTAGTGTTCTCCAGCTCGGTGCTGCGCAGGTGGGCCTGCACATGGGACAACACAGAGAGACAGAAAAAAAAAAAAAATGCAAAGGTCGGAATTAAGACTCAAACGGGCTGTTCGTTCAAAATGCACCTTTTAATTTATCCAGCCTTTGAGCTATGAAGAGCTTCCTCACACCTTGTAAAGGTCTCTCTCATCCTTCTCATTCTTCAGCTGGCTCTCCAGACCGTCTCTCTCAGCTGTCAGTTTCTTCAGACGGTCACGCAGGCTGTGAAATATAATCAACACGTTTTGTACGGCTATCATGCTCAAACCAATCCACCGGCATCATTATATTACGGTACACTAATTCTCTGTTCAATGGCACTATGTGTATACATAGGTTTCTCAAATTATCAACCACAACCCACTGACTGTTGGTTAAATCTGTTTTGCTTGGAGACCTCCCATTGATCATCTAAGGGGATTGAGAAATACATTTTACTTTGTCAGGCAGAAGTTATTTTTTTAGGCAATGGTTTGTGCTTTGTGTTATTTTTTCCACACAATGTAGACAAGTGGAATGATGAAGATGTTGAGAAAGCAGAAGGCTGGCAAGAACTCCTCCTCAAAGTTATTTACACAATCACATCCTCAAAGAAGCGGATGACTTTTGGATGATTGATGGTCATGTGTTAGCATTCTCCACTCACCAATCCAGCTCCGTCTCCTTTTGCAGGCCTCTCTGGGTGACTCCGAGCAGGTCCTCCTCCAGCTGGCGGACCCGGTCCGTGGCCTCTAACAGCCTCCGCCTCACGTCCTCCCTCTCTTCTGACAGGCCCTGCGACGAGCGCAGCAGCTCCTGCGGGACAGAGAGGCAGCTGTGGATCACGGTGACAGGCGCTGCAGCCAATCACAGCGGCTAATTCAGCAGGCGCAACTTGGCAAAGGAGAACGAATGCGGAACAAAGACAGGAACTTGTGCAACACTTATGATCAATCACAGATGGTGACATTTCATGGGACGTACCACGGTCATGTTGCACAATAGTACGTTGCATGTGCCATATTTTTGTTTTCATGCCACTTTATTAGGTACACCCATATAAAACTAAAGCAGTCTACTCCTTTAAAAATCCTGCCCTCATGAAGGTTAGAATGTTTAGTTTTGGTTTAAAATGTTTAAGATTTTCCGCTACCGGAATATTATTTTTGCACAAATATATTTGATAAATATTTGCAAAAATTCATGTATATGGTCAAAGGTATTGTAACACATATCTTCATTTTTAAAACTTGTTTTGATTTATTTTTTTTAAATAGTAATTGAACTGTTCCCTACCTCTATAGCCTGTTGCTAGTGCAGCTGTGACAGTCTTACCTTCTTATCCCAGATCTCTAGTTACAAATTCAGACTGACGTGAGCCCTTTGAAGGACTCAGAACATACACTCAGAGGCTGAAGTTATTGATCAATTGTAGTATCCTGTGAAAGCATGCAGGACCAACCTGTCTAGTATCAGTGAATTCCTTAAAACAAATTCCTGGTGGGGCACAACAGATCCTATAAGGTTTGTCCTCCCGGTGTGGAAAGGCCTTGTTTGAACTTGCTGCTAATCAGCAGTGAAGGATGCTAAATCATCCATTGCTAATATTGGTTGTGACAGAACAACATTCCTCTGAACACACCTATTCTTTTCTATATCACACACTCACACACACACACACACACACACACACACACACACATGGTTACAGAAAGACGGAACACAAAGCTTCAAATTCAAGGGCATATGGAGACAGACGGATAGCAGAGAGTACAGCCATCAGTCCACACCTGCACACACCAATGCATACGCAGGCCTGTCACCCCCTGGGCAATTGCTCTGCGTAGATTACTGTATGATTTTTACGGCTGGCGTTCGGGAAGCACTTTAGCAGTGCATAAAGACCTTATAAAAAGTGTACTCGTAAAATTAGCGGCCACAAAATATGTACTTATGTTTTCATGTTAAACTCAGGATATTTTCATCAGCGTGGCACGAGCTAACGCACCTACTGTAAATGTAAAAGAGACACCTCACACAAGTCGTATATATCTACAGATGGACATGCCTGTTGAATGAAAAGCAGCATGGTAATAACAGTGTGTGTGTGTGTGTGTGTGTCTGTGTGTATTACCAAGTAATTTATGGCGATTTTGTCCTTCGTAAAAAGAGCAGCGGACTAACTCAAAGCAGGCTGCTCTTACTCTATGCCAAGACCGGAGCGCTGCACTAGGGGGCGATAAGAGACTGGATTCAAGCCGACAAACCTCAAGTTTCAGTGTTTCGCCTCTCCTCCTCCTCCTCCTCCCCCCCCCCCTCTCTCTCTGCTTTCCATGAGTTGACTGGTTTTAGGCATGTGTGCCAAGATACTGCTTATCATATGAGCAACTCATCAATTACAAAATCAGACATCTGACTCATCCTGGTGAGTGACTGAATGGGGGGGGGAGAGAGGGAATAGAGTATAAAGTAGATGACATCGAGGTAGAGGTTAACTTGATTTCTGATCAATGTTCCCACATGTGTTTTTATTTACCTTGCTTCAGCAAAATACATTATAATAATATTCTAATGCCAACAAAACCCTGAAATGGAAAATAAAATTGGGAGAAAGAGAGTCAGGGACAGACGGACAGAGAGACAGACAGGGAGAAAATAGACAGTGAGAAAGCAGTGGCCACTGAATCGCGTGACTGAGTGGTGTTTGTCCCTGAGGCTGGGCAGGGCTTTTTTCAGGCAGGCGGTTTTGCGGACTACCCTCCTCTCATTCCACACACAGACTAAAAGGGTTTGCAAGCGGGTGGCATAATGAGTGTGTTTGTGTCTGTGTGTGTGCTCTTGTGTGATTGCACATTAGAGGGGCCCTGTGGTGTGGAACCTGAATGTGAGTGTGAGAGTGAAGTGGGGGGGGGGGGGGGGGGGGGGGTGTGTGTGTGTTTGCGCATGAGCTTGTGTGTGTGTGTGCGCGCGCGTGCGTGTGTGTTTGACGTCATGTTTGTTCACTCTGCGGTCGCGATGGCATCGTCCCTGACGCCAGATGCCCAGGAAAACAGCGTCCCAATTCCGTTCTGGCCCACTGACTCAGGTCGTTAAAGAAGGAGAGAAAGATTGGCATGCACACACACACACACACACACACCAGCACACACACACACTGCCGCTCTTTGTGTGTCTCTCAAACATGGACACAGATTATTCATAAATTCGGGTCTTTGAAGTTTTCAGACCTGTGATCACTGGCGAGGAACCGGCTCCACACACACTTGTATGCAAATAGGGACAGTCTGCCTATGTACACACTTACAGACAAATAAAACACACTGAAACTCTCAATGATGTTGTCAGAGCCCTGTTTTGTGGTTATGTAATATATCTATAGAACTTTTTTAATTAATAACAGCTACATTTTTTGAGCGATCATTTTTGTATCTATTAGGGTTGACTAGATGATGATCTCCTCTGGTATGAGGAGAGGTTGGACAGAGTTTACTCTGTCCAACCCATTTCTACGCACGTAGAAAACGGTAGTCTTTGACCTCCCGACTCCGAACTGTTTTGTTTGTTAAAAGTGAAGACAAATAATCTGAAATGAAGGCGACTGTGATTTGGACAGTTTCACACGCGAGATAAGAAGTGTTTAAAAGAAGTGTAAAAGACACAGTCTACCACCGTTGTTAATCTCAATGTATTCACAAACTGTATCTGCTACATCTACACACTACAGTGCGTTGTGTGCCATCACTCTTTCTGACCTGGTTGTGTGTCCGCAGCAAGCTGCACGTCTCCCTCTCCTGCTCCCTCTCCCTGGCCAGTCGTTTCTGCTCATCCTGCAGCTGCCGTTTCTCCTCCTGAAGGAGGCGCATGGCCTTCAGCAGCTCCCTGCGCTCCTGCTGCGCCTCCTCCACATGCTGCCAGGCAGGAGGGAAGTTAAGTGTAAAGAGAGAGAGAGATAGAAGGTGAGGGTGGCACCTGATTCTTGAAGATTTGGGTTGCTTAAGTCACTTCGTCTTGTTCTTTTAGTGCCCCTGTCTTGGGACAGTTACAGTCATTTTGAAAACACTGGCAAAATGCTGTAAGAGGCTTAAATGTTCAGAGTTTTATATAGAATTAAATTTGTGTTGTGTGATATATTTGTGCAGTGTATCCATTAATGGCAAAAAGGAGGATTAACTCTCCACAGTCAGGTACAGAACACAACCTCTGGATCCGGTAGAGATCTATTATCTTCCTGTAGGACACTTAAATGGGGGCCAAGACCCGGGTAGACGCCTTTATCTGGCATACCTCTAGAAGGCCGGTCTTGGTGGTGACGACCAGTATGTCCGAGTTGCTGTCGTCCTCGGTGACAGTCAGAAGCTCCTCTGTGGGTGTGGCTGACCTGAACTGGAAGGGCGTACTGGCTCCTCTGATGTCACCAACATGTGTGACGTAACAAAACTGGTAGAACTCTCCGTCAGATTTAGGAACATAATAACCTACAAAGAGATAAAGGGTGTGTAATCTCTTTTTTGTTTTTCATTGGACTTAATATTCATTTAAATCAGGTAGTATACAAGATAGCATGACAGCACGTAAATGTATCGCAAAAACATGCACACAATATTTCCATAGGTGACACATCATTTATACGTGCTTATATTTCAGGCAGCCCTTTGCTACACTGAGAGAGCTCACTGCAGTGCATCGGGGACATGCTCGGCTTGGTTCTCAGGGACGGAGGAGCAAGTACAGAACATCCAGCAGCCAACCGATTTTACTGACTACTGACACACCACAGCACGCTCTCATATTTTCACTGTGTAATATCTGACTGTTCCAGGACCCAGTAAAACCAGTTTGCAGGCCATCAACCTGTGTATGTGTGTGTGGTTTGAGTGGTGCTCAGGTCCCAGGCCGCCGCTTGCGGTTGTGTTCCCTTATTAAATAAAAGTGCTGGTTTTTATGCATGCCGTAAAATGAAAGGAGTTGCTTCGGAATATCCTAGGTCTGCATAGTGGCTTACTTAGAGTATGTGAGTGTGTGTACCTTGAAACACCACAGTCCTGTGCACAGTACTTCCTGGTTCGTAGTTTTCAGGCATAGGAGACCAAAGGAAGGTGTAGTAATCTCTGGCTGTGTTCCAACCCACCTAAGGATGTAAACAGCAACCAAAATGTTGATCCACAACAACAAAAGAGTGGACAGTGTAGATGTATATATATATTCATATTTCGCATTACCTTTACCATTTCTTTATTATTAGATTTTTAAAAAAACACAGTGAATGAAGAAAGCTGTGAGTACAGACAATGTTCAAGGCAAGAATGGAAACATTTAAAACCGTGCCCCCTCACTCTTCCACACACCTCCTCCTCTTCTCTCACTCCCCTCAGTTCCTTCCCCTTTTGGGCTCACAAAAAAGAGGGGCAGTGGAGGTGTGAGAATAGGGTGGGAGAGCAGGGGTGTACGTAGCTTTGAATGCGTGTACACATGCGCAGACTCGTGAAATGGCAGAGAACAACCAACGTGGAAATGAGATGGGGGGGGGGGGGGGGGGGGGGGGGGGGGGGGGTCGAAGAAAAGGGTGAAAATTTTACACAAAATGCCAAGGGAGATGTAATTCTGTGGATTTCATGTGTTGTGAGGTGACAGATGATGAAAGAGAGTTGTGAACATCATAACACAGGTCCTGCGTCGTAAATCTGTCGTGCAAAAACCGCAAAAAAAACTCTCCCTGTCTGGGCTGCTTTCGCATATTTTCAACTCACATGTGGAATACATGTTTGTGACGTTGCATAACTGCACTTCAGCTGTGGAGAGCTCAACCACCTGGGGGCTCTTCGGGGCGTTTTAAACGTTGTTTAAAATGGAGAAAGTTTCTCCTTTGGACAGCTGCCATGTAGCAATCAAATAATATTACAGTTTAGGCAGTTGGTTGACGACGATATACTGGAAATTATAGGATGGAACACTGGGAGGGACAGAATATTTTTTTGAACCATGTTCACATAAAACACATTTCTGCAGGTAAATACTTAAATAAACAATCAATCAATCAATTAATCTAAGGGGGGGGGGGAATATATAGATAATACAAATATGGAATAGGCTAATACCCAACAACAGTAAATCAACCGAGCTCCTCAAAACATCTGTCAAAATTTAGATAATGCTGTTGCATAAAACATAATTGCAGTGTGTGCCTTATCAAACCATTACACTCAGTATAACGCTATTCCAAACAAATGGTAATTGTCAGTGTGGAATCCTGGGCCAAGTACATTCTTTCCACATCCAGCAGTATCTCGGTGAGAGGCTGGGCTCCTGCGATGGACACCTGCCAGGTTAGCTTGTGTGCTCACGTGTGTTTGCTTAAGACAGAACAGACATAAATTTTTGCTAATTGCAGAGTGAAGTTGACTGACATTTTGTTAGGTATGGTGACATTCCAAAACAGGAGTGATGTTATAAAATAATCACAGGCAAAGCAGCTATCAATCACGCAGCCATGGTGTAAGGGAACAGCACGATGACACTTTAATTATACACTCACACAACGGGTTTCTCCCGGCAGACCCAACAAACATGCCACAACCGAAAACCTCCAAAGGGCTTTTTAGGGAGTTGTGAAAGTGTGTGTGCATGTGTGTTTAAAACCCAAACTTAACAGAGCTTTTACTGGAAAACAAATAAGTTCAATTTATCATGTATGGCACAATTAGTCATCATGCTAGGAAACAAAAGAAAAACCGTCACTGTACACTGTTGATGTTTACTGTGTGTACTGTTTGAGCGCACCTCCATTCTAGGAGCAGGCTTGGGTCTTTATTATTGTACTGTGGACATCTTCTGCCACTAGGGGGTGTCTGTGTACAACTCAAATGTACAGTGGCTGTCTGTGCAGTCTGAGTCATCCTCAGAGAGTCAGCTATATTGCTCAGTCTCGTCCTCTGAAACAGGTAACGCCTACAGATATGAAAGGTAAGAGAGAGAGAGAATGCTCTCTCTTTGAGTCATCTCTGCACAAAGGTATTGCCTCGGGGGGGGGGGGGGGGGTTGACAGGTGATTTTGACAGAGTTTCCAAACATCCTGACTTCAAGGCAAAACATAAGATTTCTTAGCAGTTGTTTGGTGGCACGAGTCCCGTTGTCATCACATGGGATGATTTGTAAAAGCACACAGAAGTACTGATCTCTTGATATATGTCCCACTGACAAAAAGAGGAAATAATCATGAGCTGAATAGTATATATGCATATACACACAAACACACAGCCCAGATTTTGCCAGAATTAAATAGATATATCTATGAACACACAAAAAGACAGACGTATACGTCAAAAGGATTAAAGAAGCGTGGTCTGTGAGCGCCATCAAACAGCTTTCATTAGCGTGGATTACAACAATTAAATTTTCCAAATTGACTTTTTTCTTTTTTCCATATAAACACAGCGTCTTTATTTCCTTTTTAATTGAGCTGGTGGATTTGAAGTCAGTTCTTAAACAACAATAAAATGTTTGTCTTTTGACGTTGCGAGACATTAAGTTTCCTAGTTCACATTTCCTGTTAATTATGTGTGAGATTTGATGGCCTTGATAAAAGACCGGAGGAGGAGGTCGGTTAGCAGGAAGCAGAAGGAAAAACTGATGGAAAGACAGAGGGGAGCGAACAAGTGAAGTGGGAGGAAAAAGAGGTCCTAATAAGAATCAGAGTGGTTCATAAAGAGCACCAAATGTTTGCCCCCCAGCGAGACCTACTGCAACCAGCCCACCATGTACACTCTTCCTCTTTCCACAAGCTGAACAACCACACCAAAGCTTGTGGTGAGGTTTTAGGCATGTAGTGAAGAGGTGAACCATTAGTGTCAAGGCAGATGTATGTGTTAGTGTACCAGCTGCAAACCTATGGCCAATTAATAAAACCGTAACACATAATCCATCTAAGAAACACTCTGGTAATGGGCTGGGAATAGTTCCAATCTCTAAATATCTTCTTTGTAGCATAGCTGTGTGTGTGTGTGTGTGTGTGTGTGTGTGTGTGTGTGTCGTACCTTGAAGATGCCCACCCAGTCTTTGGGGTTGGGAGTGATGTATGGGGTCAGGGTGAAGCAACACTCCAGGGGCTCCTGGGGCAGGAAACTCTTCCCCACGTTCTGGAAGATGACGTGGGCAAAGTTGGACGTCTCCATCATGCTGACGCTGCTGCCCGGCGACGAGTCCACCACCTGGAATGATGACATTGTGTCCTGTCGGTCACTTCATTTGTCTGTAAGACAAAAAGAGCAGAGCACAGAGAAGCTGAGCATCACGGCAGAGCGAAAGTCACACTTTTAGTCAAACACACACACAACGAAAAGACAAATCAAGTCAAAATGTAGTCAAAGAGCAGGCTTCCTTCCAATGGCAAGATCTCTAGCATGAGTTCCCACACATTCTCAGACAATATATGGATTAAGGAAAAGACCAAGCAGAGGTGTAGCACATGTGCACAGCATGCACCAATTCAGGGCCGGGGTGTTTACCATATTCCTCTCTAAACACAAACAGAGGGGGTCATGAGCTGTACAGATTGTAAAAGCCCTCTGAGGCAACTCTGTGATTTGGGGCGTTAAAATTGATCTGACTTTATTTTAAATAATCACAGGACCTCAGTGTCCGTCTTAAAGAGCAAAACCTGCAACCAATCGTGTTGCAATATCTCATGACATGTATGACATTTACTACACAAAAAAAACTTTGTCCTTAAATGACACCAACGCCTGAGAAGAAGCGCTATCTTAGGCGTAAACATGAGGACATTCCACAACCTATGAGCCTTGTAAAGGGGTATAAAACAGATGAGCACATATTCAAGTTTGCATTACAGTTTTACCTCTGATGGGAGTATTATCATAGTGTGGTATTGTACCTTAAATTAAGAGGGAAATACATTATTTTACTTGTAAATTTTTGTCGTAATAGTGAGACAGAACTACTATGAAAACAGTGGTATAATGTGTCTTCTGTGGTTCTGGATGAGGTGGTGATGGCTTGGTGAGTCAGAGCCTTGGGCTTTAACGAGGCATATAGAGGACATGTGGTGTCCAGAGTGTTTGGAGCCTGACACATATAATACAAAGTCAACATATCTCTTTTAAGTTGTCTTCTGCAAGTCCCACAACTTTACAAAAACACAATACTGAATTAGATCACCCCGTACAGTGAAGGTTAGTTCTTTCACCACGTTGAACACCTCGCTAGTGTAGTAAAGGAGGTTGGATGCCAGTGTAACCATCCACCACTGTGACTAATTACCTTCACATTACACCAAGTTGACTTTTAACAGAGCATGTAGTGATGGTCACCAGTCGAGGAGGAGCAGGTGACTATGTGCAGCTGCTTGCAGGTGATGCAACCACTTCATCCATTCATCGTTTACAGGGGATAATAACACAGCTAACACAACAGACCTCTCTTGCCCTACACATTTCCATTCAACCCAACTCCCCGACGAAGATAAATGAAAGTAAAAGTGACCAAGTCATGACAGATTCTCTATTCAGCTAACCAGCTAAAAATAACACAACAGCCACAGTGGAAAACACTCGTTTTTTGACGCATCATCTTACACACAGCTATGCCACATTAAACCAGCTACCTCGGTTAGTCAGGATAACCTTATTTACGGAGGCTAGGCAGCTAGCATTAGCTTGAGAACAGGCCATGTCGTGTCAAGTCACCAGCTAGCTGAACGTGAGCCTCGTCGGTCAGCTAGCTTGCTGACACACACACACGAGAACACGGACATCGCAGGCGTGTATTTAACTTGAAATTGAAAGAGTACCCTTTTCATATGAATTCCACTTGCAAAAAACAGAGGGGATTTCTGCCGGACAGGCCGATGTTTTTGCCACTGTCCCCCGTTGTTGACAAAGCTCTGACGATGATGCGTCTCTTCCTGAAGGAGCAGATGATGCTGAACTTCCGGGATGCTGAGCAGCGTGATGCTGAGGATGCGTAAGGAGGAGAGACGACTGGAGAGAACTCAGATAATTACGTAACTTACTTAAAACAGTTGAGCAATCATATTCCCTTGCTTTGCATCCCTTCTGACTTACAACAACACCACATAATTAATGTGGAGATCCTCTGCAGTCTATGTACTAGTGTGTGCCGACTATATAATGACACAATTTATTGCAAAACAAAATACATATAATGCACAGGTAGTTGAATTGTTGTTAAATGTATAGGTTTTTACGTTTTTGTTAATTTAGAGTGGACACTGCACACACAGATACGGCTAAAGGGCATTAGCTAAAAACCACAGGATGTCCCGCCCTTTGCCTCGTTCCCATTGGCTGCGGAATCTCACCGAGAGCTGCGATTGGCTAAACCCACAGTCAATCATACCATTTCAGTGGTGCTTTCCTGGCTTGACAGCTGTCACTGTACGCCGAGGTCAAGGGGAAAGAAGCATGGCTGCGTTGTTTAGAGGGTCGCGAAATGTATTGTTACGGTGGAATAAGCATGTGGACTTTGCTTTCGGTAACGTATACATGTCTATGTTGTCCGTTTTCTTGTGCTGTTGTTTCCCCCCCGTGTGTTGAGAGGAAACGGAAAGCGGAACAGTCTCTGCTCCAGCCTGTTAGCTATTAGCTTGTTAGCAATCTGAAGAAAGTATGGATACTTACTGCTCGTGCTAGTGAAGTGAAACAGTGGAGACACAATGTCCCCTGAGTGGACCACCTGGTGCGTGGTGTTCACTCGTGCAGTGTGGTGGACAATGTGCTTAATGAGCATGATGAAACGTGAAACAATGGCCAGCAACAAGCTAATGTTAAATACCAGTGATGTCCTGAGATGGGTAGTAAGATCTGTACTGAGCTCTGAATATGTTAGTGCACTTTAGGTGTTGTTATTGTCAATGCAACAATTAGTTCTTCATCACACACATGAACTAGTCTTGGATTGTAACATTGCCCACTCTGTCCACGCCTCCCTGCCCCTCCTACAACAGTTATGTTTTGTAAATCCGCAACAGTGGATATTAATGTGAATGTTCCTAATATGCTACTTTAAATACAGGGACCACTGATACTATATTACAGTTACTCTGGTCCTTTTGTCGCTTTATGTAATTCTCTTTTGTTAAAATAGTTTACAGGGACCTTCCTCCAAAGGCCCAAATACGGTGCTTTTCTCTTTTCCTTTAAAAGTAGAGGTGGTTCTTGTCCAAGTCCTGTTTCAAAGTCCACCGTAAAGTAATGCCAGCAACCACTTCAAATAGGCTGACATATCTGTGTGAATACATTAAGTCTTGTTGTTGTTGTTGTTGTTGTTGTTGTTGTTGTTGTTGTTGTTGTTGTTGTTGTTGTTGTTATTATTATATTAAAATTAATTTATATTTTTATCGATAGGTAATAGACAAAACTAGTGGCCAAGTATGCTGTAACGGACTGAATAAGCAATTTAAGCTTTAACAGACAAGTGAAATGTATAATCAGCCTTAAGTGTGGGAACAATGGACCTCATGCAAGAACATAACATGTGCCTCTGGAAGAAGCATTTGTCATTTTAGTGTATCGCCTTGAAGGAACCGTGAATAATAATATTCCCGGAGTAATAGCAATCTGGTGTCTACTGTATACGTTGAAGGGTTGGTTGATTTTAAGGTTGGGCTTTCTGTTTGGGCTTCACTATCCAGACCTAATCCTGTTGTTGTAGTCTGGCTGGTTCACTGCCAGAGTTTCCACTCTATTTAGTATCCGTTAACCTGGCTGGACCTTGACTGAGCCATCAGTGTTTATTAGCCTGGCCAGACTGCCCAAAAAGCTGGTCGTAACTTCTAACAGAAATATTGTCTTTGTTGTCACTGATTCTGATGAGAGCATTTCCTCCTGGAGAGCAGTCCAGTTGCTTATCGCTGCCGTTTGACCTGACGTCATTAGCCATAGCGTTAAGTTTTTCATAGCACTGCTCATAGTGGAAAGTAGTCCTGCCTTCATTGTATGTCAGGCACTTTTAATCCCCTCTGTGTTACATAAACATACCTTGCATTCATTACGTAAGCAGAATCAAGCACATTTCTTACATTGAGGTTTGTAACATGCTTGTATTGCTCTGAACAACGAGTCTCCTCACACCTCTGAAGGCGTCTTTGTTGTCTCGTCCCTCAGTGTCAACGCGATCAATGGCCTCAAAGACACCAGTGGGGTTTGTTGGTCTGGGAAACATGGGCAGCCCCATGGCCAAAAACCTGCTAATGAACGGTTATCCTGTTATCGCCACTGATGTCTTCCCTGAGTCCTGCAAGGAGCTGCAGGACCTCGGTGCCCAGGTAACACATCAGTCAGTAACCTATCACATATGGACTTTTGAACATTTAATAGATTGCAAATAATATATAACCTGTCAAATTTGGCATTAAACGGGCCAAGTCGGCCAAGATTACACACAGGCTTTTACCACCCATTCATTAAAACTCAGGGCAGTTTCTTTAGGAGAGCTACTAAATAAAAATGTGCCTCTGAGCTGATATGTTGTCATAAAGAAGAGCTATAATACATCCCATTTGTTCATGAAGACGCTTTATTGTGTAGTTGATGGGATGATATTGTGCAATATTCAGGTCGTAGACTCTCCCGCAGAGGTGGCAGAGAAGGCAGACCGCATCCTCACAATGCTACCCTCCAGTCCCAACGTCATTGAAGTCTACACAGGCCCGAACGGCATCCTCAAGTAAGTCAACTTTACTGTCACAGGCTCCATTTGTGACATTCCTGCACCCCAAACCTACCTCTGTAAAAACTATAAGAAAGGAACGGCACCATTGCGGCGTGTTTAACGAACAAACGGATTATGTTATGCACCGTACATGAAGTGTTAATGGTTTTTGTCTTGCCCTCTTCAGGAAGGTGAAGAAGGGAACCCTGTTGATTGACTCCTCCACCATCGACCCTGCCGTCTCAAGAGAGATGGCAGTGGCTGCAGAGAAGATGGGTGCAGTGTTCATGGACGCTCCGGTGTCAGGAGGTAACGTAATACTTTTTGAGTTGCTGTCGTCAAAGTCCATCTCGGTATATTTGATTTTGTTATTTTCCGTGTCGCTTGACCTTTGTAATTTGATGTCTGAAGGTATCGCAGGCTTTATTTCTCTTTAGGAGCATTACCAACGGTCAGGCATTATAAAAGGAATTGAGAGTAGGTGACGGTATCAAAAGTAGAATCCGACTGCTCGTTTGTTCATTTGAGAATACCCCTGACTGTGCTAGGTCTCTGACCCCTCAGCCTCACTTTTGAACTATCTTACACTCTTTTGTATATCTAAACTATGAACCTATGGGTTAGTGCTAGGACATGGGTTGTAATTACTGAGTGGGCCAGCCGGTAGGTGCCCTCTTGAGGTTTTATTGCTGCTTTTGACCGGGGGTCTTAAAGGCAAGGTTAAGGTTTTAAGTCCTCATTATGTTGGTGCTGTCTGCTCGTGATGGCTCCTTGACACAGCACAGGATCACCAGTCGTCCTTAATGGGCTGAGCCGCGGCAGAGAATCCCGTGTCAGAGCTTTTCATGTTGATGGAGCCGTAATGGCGGGTATCCCATGTTAGTGCCTTTCATGTCAGATAAAGAGTCATAAAGAGGAGAGAATCTGCCCTCGCATGGAGTGCAGGAGAGGAAAAGAGGGAGATAAGACATGAAGGAGACGCATCGCAGTAAAGCTGTCCATCTCTCTTTCTCACACACACACACACACACACTATTCTGTCGTTCAGGTATGCAGCTACGTCCTGCCACTCCTGCCCATGTGACTACTAACTCTGATCATTTGTTATTTGCTTTTTGTTGCACGATCTTTGGTTCATGCACAACACACGCTGTAGCTTCCGCCCTCGCCCAGACAAACACAGACTTGGCCCACACGTGCATGTTTACCAGCTGGCGTCTGCAGAACAGACCGACGGCAGTCCCCGAGATCAGAGCGTTAAACCCGTTACTCTCCCTTAACACACACACACTGTTTACACACTATAGACGGTGCACAGTTTGTGTGCGCTGTCCTCTGTGAAGGTTCTTCCTCTCCTGTCACTTAAGTAAGCCTCTTTTACTAGCCTGAGATGACCAATGATTTACCTGCTACCTCTGGCCTCTGCAACTATAGCTCTGCAGACACTCTTCTTTCTCACGCACACATCCTGCATGCACGCGGCCACCCATGTCACCTCGAGACACCCACAAGTCATATCCATACGTGCATACAGCTAGTTAAGTGCGGCGAAGATTCTCAGCAGAAAAGCACCATTTTGTTTTTTGAGAATCTGTTACAATTCTGATAATCAATTTAAGTACATTATGAAGCAAAAGTACCAAACATTCACTAGTTCAAAGAAAGTTCTGTTTAATATTATTGTGAATGGAAACTCTTTTTCGGTGATGGTGTGACCCTGATAAGCTTGGCTAACATACAGGTCGTGAATGACTATTTCAGCATGTGGCAACCTCATGGGAAATGGCTGAGACCTGTATCCCTCCATCCCCACATTTCCACTTCCCACATCTCTGGGTGGGACATGAGGTTACATGCTCTGTTCCAACCAGGAGATGGCACCCTCCCCAAATAGGGCATTGTTCTCCTTATGAGGTTTGTGAGTCTGTGTGTGTGTGTGTGTGTGTGTGTGTGTGTGTGTGTGTGTGTGTGTGCAAGAGGGAGGGTGACAGCAGCTCAGCTCTGCAACCAATAGTACTCTCAATGGTCCTCTTGTTAATACTGTATGTCCTCAAATGAAACACAATACAACATAAAGGAAATAGAAATTACTTCAATGCTCAATTTTAGTTTTTAAATAACAGCTGGCATCGTCTCAGACAGATCCCAGAGACACAATAATAAAAATATAAAATATGTATATTATATTTTATTAATATCATTCATTATATCGGTTGGATACACTTGAATGACTTGAGTTAAATGAAGGCATTGTCAATGTATGTTGTTCACTGAGGATAACAATACACTCTCAGTCTTAAGCAGTTGCAGAGAGAGTCTGCTCTTTTTGTGTGGTTTCAGCATTTGTTTTTGTTTTTCATTTAGATTTCTCTTTTGAGATAAAATTAATCCTAGTGTGTGTGCGTCACTAGAGGTTTGGCAGCCAACCCTAGGATCTGAATAGCGGAGTCATAACCCTTTTTCACTTTCTTCTCATGGGCATCTTGCTGGCTTCCATTCTTGCAATTTGACCAGCGTCTTGGCTTTAGCCCACACACACACAAATGTACATGCACACAAATGTACATACACAGTTGAGAACACGTTGCTGCATAGACAGTTATATTAGTTTAGACACTGGTTCCTCAGGCATGCTAACATTTGCTTGCACACACACTTCTACCACTGTCTGGTGTCGTTAAACGCGTCCGCATGCAAAGTTGACCCACAACAAAACGAGCTCTGATGTCACAGGCCCAGGGTGTTGGCACCGTGAAGGCAAAAATAGGAGGTCTGGCTAACAAGCGGCAGGGTCGTTAGCAGTAATTACCCAGAATGCCTGTGTTTGTGTCTGTGTGCCCATGGTGGGCTGCCACATTGCTAACGGACGATGGCTTTTTAAAAAAAAAAAAAAAAAAAAAAAAAAAGGCCCTAAAAACCTTTCGTTGTGTTTTTTCCCAGCGCTGGGAAAGTCGGCTATCGGTGCAAATGAAAGCAAGAAGGAGCTGAGCTGTTGTGGAACCATGGGCACTCTGGCTAATGTTACTTGTTTGCGAGGTCTTATAATCCTCAGCTAACTACCTCTTTAGGCTAAGTCTCAACACCGCTCTAATCATATCCGTACCACATCAACTGAAGCCTGAGTGCTGCAGTGTGTCATTTGCCGACAGTTTGAACGTCATCCTCCAGCCTGTAGGAGCTTGTTCAAACCAACGCTGGCACCAGTTCGTTCGTCAATCAACGCTGCCAAGCCGCTTCTTTGCTGACTGATATAGACTCTTGTTTCTCCCTCGGGGCACACAGGACCTCTGACTTCAGATGCATTCAGAAAGCCACTGTTAGTTTTTAGTTCACTGGTTGCCCAAAAGTGTATAGTTTAACATTTGAGCATTGAAAAGCTCATTCTTGAACATCTGTCCATCATTTTGTGAGCAGCCGTGATCTGATTTTATTCTGATTCATTTTGATGAACGATAGCGATCAGTGTGGAGCTCACTGACAGACGCATTGCATTTCCTGTGACTGCTTCATATTAAAAGTCAACTGGTCTTTTACCAGTTACATGCTTTTAATGTGAAACTGCAGCAACAGGAAATGTTGGGTCTCCCCCCCCCCCCCCCCCCACTGGTAATACTGCAAATATATAAATATTGCAATACTTTTATCAGTGTGCCATTGGCCCAATTACCATTGTGTTACCTCATTTGGCGATAGTGACTGAACATTTATTTAAGAAATATTACTTAAAAACAGGAAATCTTTTACAAAGGAATTATTTTGTTCCCGAATAAGTCACAAAATTAAATCTCAAAGTATTAACTAGGGCTGCTACTAACAATTAAAATGTCTAACAATGGTAAAAAATGTCACAACTTGCTTAAGTCTGAGGTGATGTTGCTGAGTAGTTTATCAATTAATAACAAAATATTTAAAGAACTAATCATTGCAACTCTGAAATCAGGACTGAAATGACCCCCCTTATCACTCATTCACTATTCCCTACTTCATAAACCTTTACCTATGTTGGCGCTCTACTGAGCAGTACATTGAGATTTTCTTTCATTCTTAAATGAAAGATAAACAAAGCAAGTCTAGTGGACTTGGTAACAAATACACAGACCAGTCTAACTTGTGCCTGTACAACCTGCCACTGGTATGTGTGGAGAGGAAGGAGCAGAAGAGCCCTGAGGGCCGTTTAGTGGAGGTTAGCGATGATTCTCTGACACCGAGTTCAGGAATCGGGTTGGATGGGCAGGGGGTGGTGCTGTCGCAGTCTGTCAAGTTGACGGCTCACCAGTACTCGACAGCGTCAGTGGTCCAAAGACTAGATTAGCATAACAAGCCTCTCACTGATGGGTTCTGGTGACATAGAGTGAATGGGAGGGAGGGTGTAGGGCGGTATAGAGTGACCAGGCATGGTGATGATGACGGGGGGCACTCTAGCCTATGCTCCAGATGGGGGTAGACCCACAGCAGCTGGGGACTGGCTCCCACATCTCTGCTCGTATGTCATCTGTTGTGTGTGTGTGTCTGCAGACACATAGTAAGCGGCGTATGAGCCTGACAAAAAGTCTGTCAAATGTAGCCCAAACGTCACACTGCATGTCACTCACCTAAAACTGAATTAGCATTGTGTGTGTGTGTGTGTGTGTGTGTGTGTGTGTGTGTGTGTGTGTGT